TATACACAGGTTACATAATTTGTCGTACCAGCAACACAGGTATGATTAGAAAGATCAGGGATGTAACGAGTGACGGTTGGTCAGACGCATTACGTGTAGGTGTCTCAAACAGGAGGCAACATCAGTGCATTGAAAATCTCTGAAGTGGAGTTTTTCCTTTCCAAAACGGTGTTTTCGTGGGATAAACTGCACCGGATTGCCTGCTCAGATATTGCACTTATGACGCCCACGACCGTCACAATACATAGCCGTCCATTCTTCAGCACACACGTCCCAGTCAACGCATGTTCTCTTATCACATTCAAGAGACCAATATGACGCACATCTTACAATTTTTCCTTTTACTCACTTAGTCTTCCTTTTGCGGCCCAGCTTTTCCGGGTTACTACAAACCTGACGCCCAAAAATACTTTTCATCATGTGAATTAAAGACTGGCTAAAACCAAATGAGATCACTGACAGGTTTGTGTATATGGTTAGCTCCGATGTCTCAGATTCCCTGATAACACTGCACTAGTCTCTGCTTAGCCCTGCACTAACAGTTCAGATTTTCGGGCTTGTGTGCGGCCAGTGATCTGTTTGGCGGACTGGACACAGGATGCACAAATTGTCCTCTCTTAAGGGACTACCGAGCGGATTGTGCCCTCAAGGCCTGCTGACAGGAGTCAGCCGATCACGAAACCGGCCGCAAACCAACCAAATGTGGCTAGTTCTGGGCGAGTGTGATGTTTCCAGGGGCTCTAGAGATGTAACTGCAAAAAAGACGCAGACAGAACAAAAGCACGAAGTAGACTGATTGTATTATCTATGGGCACGGTGTCTGCTTTTAGCTTAACTAATCGAGACTCATGTCCAGGAAAATAAACAAATTTGAGCAATCCAAGCATAGGCTATAGCAATTGAAGGCTTTAATAACATACCGTCGTCTTTTGCTCGCATTCGCCTGATTCTTCGACACCAGAGGTCTACGATTCGACATCTTTTCGTCAAAACGTTTTCAAATTAGGACAGACGGGTAACACCAAACCTGTATGAGGCCGAATATTTATGTAAGACGCCAACAGCGTTTGATACCAAAACCTACCGGCAAAACCAAAGTACCAAGGAATTCCTTGCTACGGGATGGAACAAAACAAATATAAACGAATTATAAATGTGAAGAGGATATGCTGCCAAATGTCAAAAACAAACAATAAATATATAAAGCGAAGAATGAGGTATTCATAGTTGTTGGTCTTTTAACCGTTTACTCCCTCCTCGACACTTAATTACGTTTGATCACCAACACTTATACGTTTGAATATGTAAGTCATAAACAAAAAGGAATGTTTCGTACTGTAGTTTATTGATTGGGCGCAACTAGTCAAGAAAACGTGGACAAAACCCTCATTTCTATCAAGGTGACAGTTACGCGTTTTAACTTTTCCAGATAATTTTCCCCGTCTCATTTGTTCGGATACTTTTGACCCAAAAGCAGCTTAAATGATGGCCATTTCCTTCTCCGTTCGTGGGCATTTGTATGTTGCTTCTGAACCAATAATATGATTTGGCTCATGTTTA